CCCCCCAGTGTCCTCTTTTTTGTTTGTGGAAATATGGTAACCCTAGCTAACCCGGGTAGAACATGCTGCACAAGTTAAGTCTGAAAGTGACAAAAACACGAATCACTCTTGTTAGTTCTGCAGTAGATAGATTTGGGCATAATCATCTGGCCAGCCAGAGATGAAAGGAAACATTTCTGGTCACTTTTTCTATGTATCTAGAACAAGTGGTAAGTAGAGAGAGAGATCCTGAGGCTTTGCACTACTACAGGAAAGCAAATTTCCTAAATAAGAAGATAGGTCACTTCCAGCCAGTTTCCCAAACCACTTCCCTCTGCCAGCCAACCACACCTCCATCTTACCCATATTGAGCCAGATGTTTTTAATCCAGTACTTTCACTCAATTATTTCAACATTGTCCACATCTCTTGAGGCCTGGAAGAGTTGTGTGCCATGTACACTGGTGATGCTATAGGTCCTACTCTACCTCTTTGGCAGAGCTCATCCGTCACCCATCCAGTGGAGTTTGTTCTAGTTACCGACTTAGCTCAGAAATAAGTCCTCTGTTTAGAGGCTTCTGATCAGTCTATGTCCTCCTCCTCCCACAAAATATTTCTATCTTTGGATCTCTTATTCCCCATAAAAAAGAGGTGTTGTGGAGTAATGCGCAGGTTCAGTTCTGAATGGGGGGGGAATCAATCCCTTGAGCCATGAGAAAGAAGAACATTTTCAACCTTAAGCAGCTATTGTCTAAGCAAAAAAGCTTGTACCACTGTAATCAAAATACGTTTTAAATTGTAATGCTATTTATAGAAGCTCTTTGTTACAACCCCAGATCTCTAGTTTCATTGTTTGATCCTTGTCTACTATTTACTGTGCATTTAGGTATTTCTAATGTTCAGCTCATAGTGTGGCACATCTCGACACACCGTACAACACAGTAACAAACATATTTTTCTTTAATCCCTTTAGAATTGTGCCAAATTGTGCCAGGGTAAGGGCAGACAGATTTTTTAAGAGCTTTATAATTATATATTATATACAAATTTAATTATAAGAGACTGTAGTGCTATTTACCCTTTCTTCAAACACACAAGGCTGTATTCACTAGCGAGCAGTTATCGACTTGATACAAAATATATGTATAAATTTTAAGTCCCTCCAATTTCAATTTGAAGTTATTGATCAATATTGTTGATTACCTCAGTACTTTTGTGAAGTGCTTTAAGATAAAGAGATGTTCACCATTCTTCTTGTGTCAGGCACCTCAAAAGGAAAACTGTGAGAAGAGAAACACAATGAAAAACAGCCAGTAATACCATATGAGACTCCTTATTAAAAACATAAAATGCCTTTCACTCTTGCTTTTATTAAGTCTACTTTTCAAGTGAAAGTTAGGTGAGCCGATTATAATACAAGTCAAGTCTAACTATTTCATTATCCATGTCCTGAAGCATGATAGCCCACAGAATGCCTTTTGAAAGCTCTAGAGTGATGGCAGCAGGTTGAATATAATGAACAATGTTACAAATGGGAACACGACTACAAGTCTGCTGAAGGAGGAGTCTCCTGGAAACTGTATGGCTGTAATTACTGAACACCAGCTCTGCCTCAGTTGGCTTTGAATAAAGGTATCCACCTTCAGCAAGTTATATTTTCTTGCCTAGCTAAAATGAAAGCAGTCAGACACAAATATGTATGATGCACAATAAATAACCAAAGTAGTAATTGTCTGCTTTTATTACTTTATTTTTGTAGTGGCTTTTAAGTCTTCCATAACTACAGCACAAGTGAATTAAAGCAGTGCTGTGAATTATTTTTAAATTGGACTTACAAGACTGGAACTGTTAAATCATATTTACTGGAAGATAAAATGCTTTTTTGTTTTGAGGGTTTAGTTTGTGTGTCATAGTCATTTCTGAATAATTCATTTAGTACATCAATCAAGAAAAACAAATCAGTGAAAGATGCTGCAACTGTTGTTACCTGAAACATCCCACTCTGTTAGCAGTTTCTGATTCTTCTACAAAGAGTTACATGGGTTCTGTTGACTCACTGAGGCAAGCGACTCATTACCTCTACTTAAATAAAAGGCAGATGGGACTGGTTTTGTGGGGAAACAGGATCTAAGCTGAGTGGTCCTGGGGGAGGTCCTGTAAGAGCAGCTTCGCCTGAGGAAAATGCTTCAGCTAAATATCTGTTGTCTTACTGTTGATTTCTTTATTAATAAAGTCAAACACTAAAAACTGGGTTAATTTGGACCTTACATATTGTGTGGACTGTGTTTTTACAGCATTTTGGGGAAGGCACCTATTCACATATGAATGATTCAAAAATGAAATTTCTCAACTCTGTCAAGGTAGCAAAAGGTACAGATTTTAAGATATACTTAACAGAGCAGTACATTCCACAACCTTATTTTCATTCCTCATCATTTAACATTTAACAAGATGATTTCAAACACTATCTATTTCCACATTTTATTCCTTTCATAAATATTTTAAAGTGCTTAGCTTTTATTAAAAAGTTGTAGCATGAATTAACTAACGAGAAGGAATTGTTGTCCCACTGTAAGATGCATCACAGATTAACAAAATTGTGATCTACAATATAGCTACAGTTACTTTGTAGAAATATTTTTCTGGTTAATTGTAGTTTCTTTGGCCACATATTGTACAGTCTCAGAGACACTAGGGATAATTCTCCTACTTAAACTATGTGTTCATTTTTCCTTTAAGCGTAGCTCTAGCCATGTAGAGACTACATGGTGTACAGGGGCTTAAACTACTACTGTTGGGGTTTTTTTGTTTTGTTTTGATTTGATTTGATTATTAGTAAGCTAAAGTTTTGGTACAAAGAATATTAGTGATTTCCTATGTAACAGATTTGGTTAATAAACCTCAAACAAATTCCATCTACAGTAGTTGAGTGTGGTGGTCATAAAAATGTAATTTCACTTCTACTGACTCTATCAATAGTGAAGTACCATGGGACCAAAGTACTAAACTCCATGGGTTCAGCACTTGCCATGTAGTACACTAGTGTGCAAGAGAAGAGGATGTAGGTTAGTCAAAAAAATTGTAGGGAATGCCAGAAGAACCTAACATAACTAGACAATAGCACAACATGAGTGTGTATGATATTTAATGTAGAGAGATGCAAGAAGATGTGTTGAAAGGGAAAAAGCTGAACAACTACCAGTAAAAAAATAAGACAGAGAGAAAATGTAGCAGTGTGTAAAAAGTGGTATAATATTTTCATTATTATTCTTTTTATTAATACTACCTCTTTCTTAAACACTATGGACAACTCAAGGAAGATATCTGCACAATTCACAACCATGGTTAAAAAGCAGACAGGATAATACTGAAAAGTATATCATTATTACAGTCATCTTGAATATGGTGTTCTTTTCTGGTCACCTCATCTAAAAATGAAATGTATAGCAGAAACAGAACAGGTCCAGAGAAAAGCAACACAAATCACTGGATGTTTGGAAAGACCTCCACCTGATGAGCAATTAAAGAGGATTCTAACAGTTTAACTTAGAGAAAAGAGTAAGAGGGTACATGAGGGAGGCACGTAAAATAATGAATGGCATAAGAGGGGTGAGTCAGGTGCTCCTATTAACATTTTCATATGCTACAAAACCTAAGAATCACCCAATGATATTAAAAGGCAACAAATGTTAAAATGATAAAAAGAAATACTTTTTACACAATGTATAATTAACTGTGAAACTTACTGTGACAACTTGGGGGAGGGGTACCTGTGTCAAATTATGAATTCCATTTTATTTTGTGAATGCCTTTTGTGATTGTAACCTTCACTGAGGATTAAAGCATCTGTTTTGCTACCGGACCTTGACAGCTAATGGAGAGACTACAGCTGCAAAGCTAGGATAGACC